TCAGCATCCAAAAAAATATGAATATTTATGCCTGTTGAGCAGGCTAATTGAGGTGTAAAGAGAAACTAAGATGGAAGAAGGGAAGAGGGATCATCTAAGAGACATGGCCAGTGTAGAATCCATATTTGTTCTCTAGTCACTGTCTTATCATGACATTTTGGTGATCAAATTTCTTCCCATGTAGAAGACTTGGGAAGTTTAACTAAGAATATAAAATGGCTTTAACAAGGATTGCCTTCTGGGTCCAAATTTAACCACACAGTTTGGGCAGCGCCACTGTCACCTTCTGATGTTCTTGGATATAACTCCCATCTTCTAATTGAATAGGACAGAGATAAGCTCACACATATTACATTGTGTTTTGGTTTTTTTTTTGTTCCACAGCTACAAGCAACAGAGCTACAATAATCTCAATGATCAAAGGGCTAATCATGTTGTTGTTCTTAAACACAACCCAAGCTTGGATCTGCATGCTCTGTCCTTGCAAGACTCTTGATTCCTGGGGTTGGGAAGCAAACTGCAATTTGATGGAACTCAAGGAGATGCCCCTCCTGAACTCCAGCATCAAAATTCTTCATCTGCAAAACAACAACTTGACCACTGTTCCTCTTGGTGCTTTGGATAGCTTGACCAACTTGGAGGAAATTAATTTTTCCAACAACCCTTGGCACTGTGACTGCTCTATTTTATATCTCAAGGAGTGGCTGGCAGACTTCAATAAAAGTTCTCTTGCAAAGGCTACCTGTAAAACTCCAGCTTCTCTAAATATGAAAGCCTTGAGCCAGCTGAAAGGGAATGAACTGGAGGGATGTAGGAAATCCCTGCCAATCAGTTGCCGTGATTTTTTTGGGAGGGACTTTGGTCTGATTATTTTGGCAATCATTGTCTTAATTTTAACAGCATGTGTTTTGCAACGTTCAAAACAGTTGGTTTTCCAAGCCAGAAGAAAGCAGCATTCTTCTGAAGTCCCACTGCTAGGGTTCCATGACCTGGAAAATCAGAAGTCCAAATGAAATGCTGCAGTGGGCAATAAAATGTTGTAAGGATAAAACCAACCATGTAATATTGTATTTTTGTGAACTGAAAGTATCTATAGTCACAACTAAAGGCCTCTTTTGGTAAAGATATCACACTTTCTCACACACACACATTTCTATGTGTGTATGTCAATAATCACAATATCATTGATATTAAGCCAGTAATTCTGATAGATGTATAAGTTGTTTTGCTTTGTAATTGTACTATACTTATTAATGCTCCGATATGCATAATTGAAATGTGTTTTCATGCATCACAGGTTCTGTTGCTATGGCACTCAGTCATTCAGCCATATAATCATTCACAAAGAGAATAAATAATCCTGATCTTATGCAAATGTTGTTCACTGTGGTAGTAAAGCATATTCTTATATATTAGAAAATGGAGTTACTCACATATTCACTGAATACCAGGACAGAGAATTTAGTGCTTTCATCTTTTACAATTCCATCTGAAAAAAAAAAATAATTTGAATTAGGAAGTTATATTCTATAAATTATGGTTTTGCTAGTAAAAATATTTTATGGACAGAATATTTAGGATTGGAAAATAGTTTATTTTTGCAGCATTGCAATCCCTATCCATTTAGAAATTGGAAGTTACCAATCCATTTACTGAAGGGATTATTAATTTTTAAAAAATATGGACACTTAATTATTCAGCAATTTGATGAGTGAGTTTGGTGGCTATGTCACAAATTCATCCATATTTCCTTCACAGGGTTCTACTTGGGCTTTTTGCCAAGCTCTGTTTCAGATGATTCTTTTAATGTGAAATTGCACTACCAATATACTCTACCATCTACAGTATATTGGGGTGGGTGGAGGTTTACAATGGTTTCCATTTATGATCTTTCTGTATTTTCCCATTATTTATTTCCCAATATGTATTTATTATTTATCTTCTTGCTTGCTCTAAGAAGAATTAAGGGAGGTAAAATGGACAAATTGCACAGTTTTTGTATTGCTAGTGAATGTTGAGAGTTTCTAGATTAGAATATGGAAGTATCCAAGGACTTCAATTTGCTTCAAACAACTTTAGTCTTGAATGTACAGTATAGGCTGAGTAGTCCTAGTCCATAACTGGTGTGACAGAATAATACACCATCCTGCCTTTTATTATTTAACAAGCACTATATCACTGAAAATTGTGTTGGATTTATTGATTTAAATGAAGCAGACTTATAGTTCACAGTCCACCAATTCTAGTAAAGAGTTCCACAACACACATTTCCAGGTTTTTCTTTATTTTATTCCACAAATATACTTCACATTATTGAAGTGTTCTCAGTTATGCTTAGAAGACACCTGTTCTTGTGATCTATATTCTATATGGATGATATCATGTCTGAATTTAAGGGTTTTTCATCGAAAATATTTTTTTTTATGCTAGAGAGAGCATGCCAGAAACAAATACATTTGCATGAAATTACAATTATCTAACTAGCATTGGATCGAAATTTAATCATTGTAACATATTACAAATATGTTATCATATTTGTAATATGATTTATCATACAAATATCCAGTTAGTCTGGATATAAATTCAGTTAGTCTTGACCATAAATTTAAATGAAACTGCTCTAAGCATGGCAGACCCCGGATTTATCAAGGATTATCATTATCTCCTTAAAGTCTAAGCCTTTTTACAAATGATAAAATGTTTTACTTAATTTATTTCATCAACATGGACTTAATACTTCCACTTTTCTCATGGGTTATATGAGATATAAATCATGCACTATATCAGTCCTTTCCAGCATGGTTCTCTACTGGTAAGAGGAACGACAATTGCCAGAATTCCCAAGCAACACATCACTGTTGGAAATTTTAGCTGGTTGCTCAGGGAAGTATAGTCCCAACATATTTATAGAATTCCCAGTGGGGAAAGTTTATTATCCTATTGTATTACAGAAAGGGACTGGCTTCTCAAATATCAGAGATCTACCCTCTCAGCAACCATTGCAAGCCTAACTAATGATGAAGAATGGTAATACCATGCCTGACTCTGCAACAAACCATAATTTTATTAAACTTGTATGTTAGCTGACTTCTAACAACCCTATGTAGCTCACAAAAGTAAAAGAAATTACGATCAAATCTATAAAACATAAAGATAAAGCAAGGAAAGCATGACAGAGTGAAGAGTCTTACTCTTTCTTGCCATAGGCCTGGGTAAAAAGCCAGGTGCTGATGTTCTTCTAAACAACAGCAGCAGAGTGGAAGTCTATCCAGATCTTGGACAGAACTTTGTCTCAAAGGCCAGGTGCTGCCTACAGAGAAGGCATCCTTCAGGAGTCCCAATAGTTTAATCAAAGGAACACAGAGCATGCCAACCCTGCCAGATCCAATTGGCTGCAGCAGATACAGAGGCAGGCAGTCCCTCAAGTAACCAAAGTCTATGCCATGTAGAACTTTATAGGTAATCAGCATCTTGAATCACACCAGAAAGGAAACCAGCAACCAGTGTAGCTCGTGAAATAGAGGTGCTACATGGTCATATGGAACCATGTCTATGACTTATGTAAAGCTTCTGGTCAGTGGTGAAATCCAAATTTTTTTACTACTGGTTCTGTGGGCATGGCTTGGTGGGTGTGGTGTCGCTTGGTGGGCGTGGCAGGGGAAGGATACTGCAAAATCTCCATTCCCACCGTATTCCAGGGGAAAAATACTGCAAAATTCCCATTCCCTCCCCACTCCTGGTGGAAGGAAATGAAAAATCTCCATTCCCACCCCACTCTGGAGTCACCCAGAGGTGGTTTGCCAGTTCTCTGAACTACTCAAAATTTCCGCTACCAGTTCTCCAGAACCTGTCAGAACCTACTGGAGTATTGCACTTGTCAAGACACAGTGCAACTAGGATATAAGTGGCTGTCTGAAGGGCTTCCTGACCTAGGAAAGTTGGCATACCAGATAAGAACTAAGCCAATTAGTCAAGGAAGCCTCAATCCAGAAATCCACAACGAAAGGGTAACCATTGCCCTTGAACTCTTGTGCTCAGCAGCTGTGTTTCAAGCCAGTATTATGTCACTCATATTAATCAATTGATACCATGGGAAGGACAAGTAGACAGCCAACATTTTTAGTTTTTGGATCATTATTTTTTTTTAATAATGGGAGGTCAACATTATCCAAATTCATCAAAAGAAATGAACAAGCGATAGAGAACCAATAACTGGCTGTTGCACGAAGAAAACTGGTCTGGATTGGGGATTTTCTCTATTGGAAACCCCAGGGTTGGAAACCCCTAAGTCTTCAAAACCATAAGCGATCTCTTTTGCTTTATAGAATACTGTTCTTTGATGAAAATATTACAGTTTGTTATTTTATGATAACTGCCTGAAAAACCCCTAAGCAATGGAAACAAATCCTTCACTAATGATGTGCAAAGAAATGTAACTGCATTGTAAGCTTTGCATCATTTATAAATTAATGAGTTGCAGCTCCATTATGCGTGTGGTGTTTAAATTCCTTCATTATTCCTGTTTAATGCAATATATATGATAATCGGTTTTTGTGTGAAGGTAAACCTAGATTATTTTATTTCATGTAAAATTAACATGAAAATATTTTCTGCTCTAGAAAGTTCATTAGGAATATGAGAGTTTCATGTAGCAGGCAAAATGGAAAGAAAACCCACACACATGTCCTACCATTCTATGCTTTAAGTTGGAGAAATGTCTATAAACATATGCAACATCTGAAATAAAGTCCTTGATTCTTGTTAATTGAATTCACATCCACGTAGACATGTATCAATTTTCACTGTCCATATTAAAAAAAAAAGCTTCTTTATTTTAAAGATATTTTTGGAAATCAGAACTGAAGTTAGTTATAGCAGAGAATGTAAAAATGTTGCTCTGGGAAACATAAACTTTAGAGGTCTTGGAGAATTGTTGAAGGAGTGCAGCTTTTCTAATAAGCAGAGGTCTCCTTATCAGAAGGAACCAGGGTGTTGTTATCAGGAGAATTCTTCCAGAGACAGAGTGAGTTAAGCTGCAATGGTGGATGAGGGAGTATCACAAGCTTATCTTCCCCGGCCACTTCTTTCATAAGCTTCGGGACACTTCCTACATAGCCAATCAAATGGATTTCCATAGGGCGTGCTGCTGCTTACAGTTCTCATTGTAACAACCCACAGAAAGATGGAACAACTATGCCATCCATTGAAAATGGATCATGTGCAAAAAGTTTCCCAGAGAACTTTGGAAAGGTGATGTGGTCTGTGAATCAGCTCTATCTTTTCCTATATTGAAAAATGCACAGGGTTGAAAGCTGATTTTCAGATGCTGAAAATCAATGTAAATATTTACAAACAAAATTAAGAGAATGCAAAGGTGTACAGAAGACGTTCTCATGTGTCTTTGGCTTGAGGTAAGTTCTTTTTCTGGTATCAAAGGTGTTTATTATGTCTTTTTATACTTCTAAAAAGAAAAAAAGAAAAAAACTGCAAAAAAAAAAAAGCCCACAATGGTAATAAAAATAAATTATTGTTTTTGTTGGCCATACAGTCAGCCAGATGTTTAGACTGGATCTGGCATTTTTATCCATCAATCAAATGTTTCCCAAGGCATAGGCAGATATTGTTTGATAGGATTAAAAGTATCATTGCAGGATGTAAGCTATTCCAAGTAAACCTGCCTTTTGAAATTGATTGATGGTGATTTCGTCAATGCCAAAAATGTTCAAGTAATGCTCCAGCTGTTTTGAGCCCAAGGTGCCTATTACTATTGGTACTATCTTTGCTTTCTTTTGCCATAGTCATTCTATTCTATTTGCAAGTCTCTGTATTTTGGGATTTGCACTAACTAACTAACAAAGTTTCTATTTCCATTGTTCAGGTTATTGCTGATTATCCAGGGGGCACTTGAGGATTTCTAGAAATGGAAACCCCAATCCCTAAAATAAAACCACAGAGGGAAGGAACCCCAAAAGAACTAAGCATACTCGGGGCTATAGAACATTTAAGTGAAAGCTATATGGAGAAATAGAAAAGCAGATTCACATGTGAAACATCTGAATTTGGCAGGTCCTTACTTAAATACAGAGGACCTACTTTTTAAAATGAAAATAGATTTTAAAAAATAAACATTTAATATTTTCAGGGCATATATAAATGATATAAAAGAGTAATTTTACATGAATGGCTTTAATTGCTTTAAATACTTGCTTTTACCCTATGATGCATAATTAAGTTTTTTGAACGGGTTGTTTGAAAAATTGCATGCCTCACATTTTGCTGCTTACTATCTGAGAGAGACATTTTGCCTTGTTTTGAGAATGTAGCCGAATTTGCTGCTACATGCAAAACAGCAGCAGCTGCAAAGGGGGAAGGGCCAAAATAGGGCCCCCATCTCTCCCGACTTCACTTAGCTCATAGTGGTATATTCAGCTATTGCTTTAAAGTTCCTTGAATTCTACACATTTCTCTCCAGACGTAAGGCCCACAAAGTTATTTGCTTTACCGCTGAGAACTGGGTAGTAAGGGTAAGTAGAACCCAACCCTGGCGGGAAAGCTAGTTAGGTGTTTTTTATATAGGTTGGGTCTACATTTTTTTGTCTTTCCAACCAGCTTGGAAATGAGCAACGTCTGAGATAACAGCTTCAGATTATTTTCTGCTCTGCATTCAGCTCCACCTATCTGTTGCTTTACTAAGCAGATGATTCCACTGACCTACATTTTCAGCTTTTCAAAAAGAGTGCCACCAGCACGCAGGTAGTCCTCGACTTACAACAGTTCATTTAGTGACCAAAGTTATAACAGCACTGGAAAAGTGACTTACGACCATTTTTCACACGACCATAGCAGCATCCCCACCATGGTTATGTGATCCAAATTCAGATGCTTGAGAACTGGTTCCTATTTAAGGTGGTTGCAGTGACTCGGGTTCATGTGATTTCCCCTTTTACGACCTTCTGGGAAGCAAAGTCAATGGGGAAGTCAGATTCACTTAACACCTGTGTGACTAATTTAACAACTACAACCATTCACTTAACAATTGTGGCAAAAAAGGTCGTAAAATGGGGCAAAACTCATTTAACAAATGTCTCACTTAGCAATTTTGGGCTCAACTGTGGTCATAAATCAAGGACTACCTGTAAATAGGGACAGGATATGCAGAACTGGCTGCTTTTGTGATATTCCTATCCTTCCTCCACTGAGATAATAAATGTCCACTTACTTTATTCTTAAAATAATTCTATAACGCAGAAAGGATTCTGATAATGCCTTTCTCATGATTACCCAATAAATTCCTGGTGATCACAGATGTGAATTAAATTTAATAATCTGTCCATTCCTCCTCCTTTGACAGATCACTCTTTTATGACTGTTCAAGTGAAATCTAGTAAGTCAGTGTTATACTATATCCCAACTCTTTAAATTTTGCATAGGCATAGCAGTTTCCTCAAGTTTTGATTTTTTTTTATTCCGTAAAAAAATTGTGATCCTCCACTTCAAAACCTACTAGAATCCATTTTCCCATAATTTGAAAACAACATCCCCTAGGGCTGAATATGTTTAATTTATTCTCTAAAAAATGTTGCATTTTGAGCATCCTAATGCATTTCTCTGTAAGTAGGTTGTTCCCACAATTCCATTTAGGAACTGAAAAGAGTCAGACCTGAACTTGAGAACTGAGAAAAACATTTCTATGCATAAGCCTTCGTAAATATCAGTGCTTACCTTTGAAGGAAAACATGCTTCGTGTGCTTCACAGATGATCTAACACAATGAGAAATAAATTGTTTGTATGAAAATTAACTTTCCCTTCCTGCTGGCTGCTTATAAAATTATTGATTTCTTATCTGAAAGGGGCAGTCAGGAGAAGATTCAACTTAGATGTAGACTATCATATATTGCAAAACCTAAATTCATTCTATGTCTGATATGAAAATATTTTTAACTATAATATTAAAGTAAACCTCAACTCCAAGGGGAATCTTTTATAAGCAGCACAAAATATTAAATCACCTATTCAAATATATGATGAGCATGAGATATTAATTTACATCAGGGGTGTCCAAAGATCTATGGACTTCAATTCCGAGAATTCCCCAGCCAGCCATGTTGGATGAAGATTTCTGGGAGTTGAAATGCACAAGTCTCAAAGTTGCCAAGGTTGGATACCCCTGAGTTATTTCAACATATTTTACACGTTTATTGTGGAGAATGTTGACCAAAACTAAATGTTCATAAACTTACACTAATTTATTTCTTTATACGGTTATCCTCATTTAAATTTTCAGGATGATGCCATGTCAAGGCTTATTGATTCTTCTGTTTCTTGAAGCTGCCTTTGCAAGCCACTGTCCACACCACTGTACATGCTCTCCACCAGGAAACAGTCCACTAAAACTGAACTGTAGCTTCATGGGAATGATGGTGCTTCCACTTTTGCCAAGTCAAACACAAGAGTTGTACCTCCAAGGCAACAAGCTAGCCACGATACCTGCAGGAGCATTTGACCATCTTCAGGTGTTGAAGATCATCAATCTATCTAGGAATCCATGGCATTGTGACTGTGGGATTTTGTATCTGAAAAACTGGTTGGAAGACCAAGAGGGAAGCTTAGCTTCTAAAGATGTTAGGTGTTTTTCTCCTCCTGCACTTCGCAAAACAATGATATCTGAGCTCAAGAGGAATGAACTGCAGTTGTGCTTCACTTCCCGTATACTTTGTTCGGATTTCTTGTTCAATGATGCATTCATTTTCTTTTTTAGTCTTATTGTTTTTATTATCAACTGTTTCTTGATAACAAAAAGGACTAAGTTTAAAGTGGATGTTTATGACAAGAATTTATGACCAGCCCTCCACCACCACCCCCGCTGCAGACCCAGGAAAAGCTCCTGCTATTTCTGATCAACTGAAAAGAAGAACAGGAAAAAGAGTACCAAGCCATTCATCATTGCTTGTGACTACTGTGCATTAGGTTGCAGAACAAAGAGAAAGGTCAAACAAATTATTTCTGTTTATCATTAAAAGTGAAATGGTCAACTGAAAAGCATGACTATTTAGATTATTCATTTTAAAGAACAGAAACTCATTAAGAATATCTACATGGAACAAAAACCATAATTTGCAGCTTCTAAGGTAAAATTTAAACCAAAGAATTAGTGTCTCATTTTAAACATACTTTTGATTTTCATAACATGTTGGAAATCATCTGATGAAAGTACCACCCATATTTTTGTACTATAATTCAAGTCAAAGATCAGGTGGCAAATTATGGCCTTTGATTAATAAATCAGTATACTGAATTATTTAGCATCTGTTGACCTGGATTCTGTCCTGGTTGTGGTCATTTTCATTTAATCCATAAACAGTTTTTGGCAGATGGAGTTCAGGTGCTCCAGATGCTGATTAGTATATACCACAATGAGAAATTCTTTAAAGACTTTCTAGTATATGTGGTATATGTGGAGCTCTGCTTGTATGTGTATCTGTCTATGTTTGCTGCTGTTTTTGTTGTTATTAATATATCTATCAACAACACAAAAAGCAGTTAGCAGCAGATATGATTTCTTGGCAAGATTGCATGGGAAAACTTATTATCAAGTTCAAAGAAATGTGTTTACAATAATTGTCTTTTTCTGAATTCAATTCAAGATAATTGTACTGACCTCAAAGCCTCTAGTTTGAGAAAATACTCTCCATATTTAACACTTTGTACCAACCTACCTATAGATTATGTGTCTTCCAGACCACCCACAGAAAAATGTTTGCAGTCAGGGGAAGAACATTTTAGGATTGTGCACCCTATTTCTTTTCCAGTAATACTCACTTGCTGTTTATCTCGCAATACATGGAAATATTTCATGAATATCTTTGTATTATTCTGGATTTTTAAAAATGTGCAAAGTCATGTCTACTGATGCTTATTGTTCTCTAATATTTCTGCAACAACTGATAGTTTTAAACTGTTTTTAACCATCTGAAGGAGGAGGCAAGGGCAAATCACTTGTTACCAAGAAAATTGTGGGGATTTATACAGGCACTTGCCAGGAGTCAACACCACTTGAAGGCAAATGCACACAAAAAAGAAGAATTTAAGTTAACTTTTATCAACCTGGTATTTCCACATTACTTGGACTACTCCCATCACCATGACCAAAATAACTGTGGATGATGAGAACTATAGCTCTAAATGAATAGAATTTTTTTGCAGTTTAGAAGAAACCATACGTTCAAGAAGCCTGCAAAACATACAAATAGAAATTGCAATAGTAACAATGATTTTCACCAACAAAACCAGTGAAAATAATCTAATAAGTTATTTTCTTGGATAACAAGAATTTTACCATAATGACTATTAAAAATACGATGCTCTTCATATCAGGGAGTGTTTTTCTGAATGTGTCACACAATACTCTTCTTCTCATCAAATATCAGTACTGACAAATTAGAAGACGGTATCAATAAGCATCACTCTGTAGATGATACTTTAGAAGGTTTGTCTAAGAATGGGATTCACACTCAGCAAAATAACAAAATTCAAACCCAAAGTTTCAGATTAAAAGGGTTTGAATCAGGGGTAGGTTCTACTTACCTTTACTACCGGTTTGCAACAGGATCGTGTGCACACATGCACATGCGCAGATCTCCTATGACAACATCCAGGGTGGTGGGTGGAGCCTCCCGCTGGTTTTACTACCGGTTCTTGTGAACCGGTCTGAACCAGGGGAAACCCACTACTGGTTTGAATCCTAATGAGAATCAATCAAATACTGCCACATAAATCATGATAAAAGCTTATCTATCTACATGAATTGGCATACAATTCATGGGATTTACAAAGTAGACTGGTGAAAGCATTTGAACTGAATTGTTTCTGGCCTTCTAGGATAAGTCTGGCAAATTTTCCCCCCAAAGGTTTTCGTCTGCTTTCAGCAAACAAGCATTTCAGTATAAATAGACAGAACCAAGACGACCTATCTTTCTGTATACTTTTAGTTGCACGCTTTTAACATAATTGGTCAAATGTAGCTTTCATGTATCACACACATTTCATAAATACACATTTAAGTCTTTCTTTGATTCTCCCACTGAAATCAGTGGAATTCAGCTACTTGATTTTACTTGGGATGGGCTCCTCCTCTTAATAAAAATGACTTATTCTGATATCAGAAGCATAAACATATATACTATTTCCTGTAAAAGGGATCTAGATGCAAGCTGTACTACAAACTGGAGTGAATATCCCTGTTTTGTGTAAAAAGAAGGAATAAAGCTTCAGTGGAGCCTGGCAAAAATATTTCAGAAAAAAAGAGAATGCCAAAAGTTCGGCTGCTGCCAGTGCTTTTTTTTCTGCCCGCGTTATTTATGTACCTGGAGCAGCTGCAAACCATGAGGCACTTTATTCCACTTCACGCTTTCTCCTTGATCTCTAGAAAGAATTAGACAAGCCCTTTGCAATTTTCACAGTCACAGTTCTTAAGCTTGTGAGATAGAGCTCCCTAAGAGAATACAGGCAGATGATAAAGGACACATCACCAGAGGCCTTGGCACGAGACAGAAAGAGAAAAGAGGTTCTTTAGAAGAGACGTGGTGGGAAAAGGAATTAGAAATCAGAACCACTGCAGGAACAAATGAAACATATATTCTCTTAATGCAAACAAGCGTTTTAAAATTATACCTTTTTAGTTGGGTGCCAATAGTTCGATTATAATTGCCACAGAATGCCTTGTGTATGTAAAAGGAGTTACATCTGTGGAATTGTTTGTGAATAGCAACATGGATACTGTGCACTCAGAAACTATTATTCAACATATTAGCTCGTGGTACCACAAGTTTAATGCACCTATTGAGATGATGGATGCCTAAGTGCCAGTACTGACATATACTTCAGTTGCAGCTCCACCATCAACATGTGGAGCCATTCTAAAACATGCATGAGTCCAGAAGTAAAGATTATTTAAGGTTCTCTATTCAGAAAAGGATCCTTTTGCATATGCATGGCTTCATTTTAGGCTGGTGTCAATTACAGGTGAGCCAAGGAGTGCAGTGAATGCTTGTCTGTTACTATCTCGAGAAGGGCTAACCCAGATGTCCTTGATAGATAGACTATGATGTACAGGTAGTCCTCGACTTACAAAGCAATAGAGCCTACAAAACATGGTTGTAAATTGTAAGTTGTGACTTGTGGAGTTGAACTCCCATAGGAGGTCATCATATGACTCACCTAATTTATGACTTTTTGTGGCAGTTGTTAACATAACAGTCATAAAGCAAACTCCACAGCCATTTGGTGAATGCCATGTGGATTTTAGGAGCAGGGTTGGATGCTCAGGCAAAATTGTATCTATTATCTGCCTAATCTTTTGCCAAACCATCATTTATGATCCGGCTGGATAGTAATAAATAGTCTAATCTCTGCCATAAAAATCTACCCTCTCCTCTGTAGGAAAGATGGATGACAATGATGATGATACATTTGCTAAGACACAGTACAAACAACCAAGTAAAAAAAACAACACCCCATGCATGTACGTACATATTTATTTGGTTTACAGAGCCCTTCTTTTGGTCAAAAGCTCAAAGTAGCATACCCAGCACCCCCCTCCTATTTTCCACACAACAGCCCTATGAGATAAGTTGGGATGAGAAAGGAGAGGGTTTTTTGTCCTGCTGACATGTATCAGATATGGGGTTATGGTTATGGTTAAGGTTAGAGCTCACAAATCTCTAACTGCCTGTATCTGTGCAAAGCTTTGCAACATTTATTCCCCTGCTTCAAATACTATTTGACTCTCCATAACTCATGATGATATGCTAGTTCAAAGGTTTTCCTATCTGGATGAACACCATAGATTTTTCTCTATATACGTCAACCCCCCACTAGGAAGATCATCCCTGAAATCAATTCCATAAAAATGCAAGTCACATGTACTAAATGGCTACAATAACAGAATATTGCAATTCTAACTGTAATCCTCCTCCTTAGGGGTGGGTTCTACTTACCTTTACTACCATTTCAGAATGGGATCGCACAAGCACCTTGCTTCTGCATATGTGCAGAAGCTTCTGCGCATGCGCAGATCACCAATGATGACATCCAGGGTGGTGTGCGGGACCTCCTGCTGGTTTTACTACCGGTTCTAGCGAACTGGTCCGAACCGGGGGCAACCCACCACTGCTCCTCCTGGTCCTAATTCAGTGAATTAGGGAGGCCTCTATCTGGACTATTTCTGAATGTTATCTGGCTGTTGTCAATTTAAAAAATGTTTCAGCCCCTTTTGCCTAGGGGCTGCCTGTAAATATGCCAGTTCCTGCATATCTCCATCAAGATCATAGCCTTACTCTCTACTATATAGGACCTTAAAACTTCAGTTCAGTAGATCCAAATTCTACGCTGTAGTAGAAAGTGTCTGACAGGAAAACATTCATTCTACCATTACATTTAAACGCTGGGGGTTAAAAGGCTCACCTGAGTACTCAAACACCCATTCCAGACATGTCTTCCTTTTCTTCTCCCTCTCTCCCTCCCTCCCTTCCTCTTTCTCATCTGGGGAAATCATGATAGCTTAGGGGGAAAAAATCCCATACAATGGTCATGGTACAATAAAATAATGAGCAATCATTCAACAGAATATAGAGACAATAATTATAGATGACAAAAAAAAGAAAATCAATCCCCAAATGTTCTCCAGAAGAGCTACAACTTAATCAAATTATAGAAGGCAATCAGAAAGACATCAGGCTAGTTCCGGAGAAGATTTTTCCATATCTTAATCGAGAAACAACTGTTTCTTACCTCAGTTTTCTTTACCTCATGAAGATGGGGTATCATCAGCAGTTTCTCCTAGGAGAATTGTCAATTCCCATATAGATTGGGTGAAACCTGGCTTAATAGCAGTAACTGTGAGAGGGATCTTGGAGTCTTAATGGACAATCAATTAAATATGAGCCAGCAGTGTACAGCGGCAGCCAAAAAAGCCAATGCAATCCTAAATTGTGTTAACAGAGGGATTCAATCAAGATCAAGTGAGGTACTAAAACACTCTATAAAGCCTTAGTAAGACCACACCTAGAATACTGCATCCAGTTTTGGTCACCACACTATAAAAAAGATGTTGATACTCTAGAAAGAATGCAGAGAAGAACAACAAGGGTGGTTAGGGGACTGGAGGCTAAAACATATGAAGAATGGTTGCAGGAACTGGATATGGCTAGTCTAGTGAAGAGAAGGACCAGGGGAGACATGATAGCAGTGTTCCAATATTTGAAGAGCTGTGACAGAGAGGAAGGGATCAACCTATTTTTCAAAGCACTGAAGGCCAGACAAGGAATAATGGATGGAAACTGATCAAGGAGAAATTCAGCCTAGAAATAAGGAGAAATTTTCTGACAGTGAGAACAATCAAGCCATGGAATAGCTTGCCTTCAAAAGTTGTGGGTGCTTAATCACTGTAAGCTTTTAAGAAGAGCCTGGAGAGCCATCTGTCAGAAATGGTATAGGGTTTCCTGCTTGAGCAAGGGGTTGGACTGGATGACCTACAAGGTCTCTTGCAACTCTGTTATTCTAGTCTATTCCAAAATTCTGCTTAGAGAAAGCAGTTCTGCTGGTATCTAGGTACAAAGGCATATATGGTTTTATAGTTTAAAAACAGCATTTTGGATTGCACTGGGAATGTATTGGCACTCAATGCAGGGTCTACAGATATAATAAGTCTACTAATTGGCCAGACTACTGCATTTATTGATGATCAATATGCCCATAGACAACTCTGGAAATTTCAAGACATGTCTTCTAATGGAATTATTGCAAAGTAACACAATATTTTGATAACTTCTAATTATGTTTTTAGAATCTAGAAGAAAATTTAGATTATATGTAAATTTTAAAAATTGAAAATGTAGGTATGCTTCAGAATTTAGCTGCCATTACCTCACTTTTGTTCCTTAAAAGAGGCTTTGCTTACACAGAACAGACTTTAGGACTAGCATTTGGTCGAAGGGATAAGAAGTAAGATGCTGATAGGAGACCCAGTTGCTGAACATTTGGAAAGTCATGGGGAGAGAATATCTTTACTACAGGACCAGACGTTGGTTGGAACAGTGATAAAATATGAAGCAGCCTCTCCTGCCTGAATAACAGTTCCCAGGTGGAGAAGATGAGACAATAGCTTTCTCTCCGCTACATAGCTCTAAAGTAGACTATCAAATTTTAACCAACTCTTTCAGTCTTTTGCTCTGTGAATGGGACACCTGCATTATATGACTGTGAACAAGAAAACCTAAGTACCATTTGCTTCAAAATACTAGAGTGAAATGGTTTCATTTAAGAATCCATATCAGACAGTCATATATTTCCAATAGAAAAGAATATATGCA